AAGCTGGCTCTAGCTTGAATGTTCCCCACACCTTCCCACTTACAGTATATCTTCGGATCATGGGGTTTACCCCTTTTACTGTATTCACTTTCGTGTAATGAAAAAAAAGTTCTACTTTACAGTTGTGAGGCCCTAACTTTGGGTATAGAAAATATTGATCGTCTATAAGTCTTCGACTGTCGCTGTTTCCGTAATTTGGCGCAGGTTGAATGGAGCGATTGTGTAAGCAACGCTGAGCTAAACTGACGAGTATTTGGGGATGATTCGGTGGAGAATTCGTTGTCGCATGGAATTCAAATTAGTAGGCTTCACTTGTTAGGACACGTATTGCGCATGCCAAGCTGTCATCTACCGCACCGCTCCAGGTCATGGGAAATCACTTTGAGGTCAACAAGACGCGGAAACGAGACATGGAGAAAGCACACGGCGACTAGGTGCTGTAGGTGTCTCTCATCTTCGAAATTGGTAAGCAGAATACTCTGCAACTAGTTGGTGAGAAACAATGAAGGATACGGTCACGAACCGACGGCATTGGCACTAGTATCGTCACTGTATCGGGCCAGAATGCGTGAAAAAGTGTATATGCACAGTTGAACTGCGTACTCTATGTGTTGACCAGAGAAGATTCACTGTCTTTCCCAATCCCTGTCCATTTTTGAACATTCTCACTTTCTTTGTGTAGATTGTAAGCTTGGCAGCGGTCGTTGAAGTTAGCGTCACTGTATTTTGCTGCAAGATGATGATGATGATGAATACGAATGGGTCCACGGAATCTATGCTTGAGGTTATCAGTTACTGTGACGGTAAACTGATTCGCATTCAACAGTATCTTCTCAAGCGACGGACAGAACATGGCCCAACTGGCCTTCTTTGGTATTAAATTAGCTAATCTCGACCTCAAGCGGCAATCACTGCCGTCTGAAATGGAGGTTACCCGGGAGATAAATTATCTTCAACGGTATTAGACTTCGAAACTCAATGTGTTACTCCCATCCATTTTTTAAGAATGAGAGCTCAGCTATTTTGAACTGAATAAACTCATGGGTTCGATAAGCGAGAAAAAGAAGCAAGCTCCCGATGAATCATACAATGATATTGCCGATTTCCGAGAAAAGCGATATCCTCTTGTGAAAACCTACGATTAACCTCGCCTCACAGCTTCTTGTTGGCATTCTGCTCCATTGCTGGTCTACTGCATGTTGACAGTTCATGTATGAGAATCAATTCAGTTTGCATTGTACTCCGTCGCTACTTGTCCTTGAAGGATCTGCCGAACAGGTTCTTCCGTACAATGTTATACGAACGACCAAATTCATTTAACAGTTTACGACTGTTTTTCACCAGGTTTCCCTTTTTTCTTTTAAACTTTGTAGCAATTCTGAACGATTATTCATATAGGCATTTTCTGTCTGGATCTGATTTCCTTGCTTTCTCTATTTTTGTCTTGCTAGTCCCCTCATTTTTTTCACTATCACTCCCTCATTGGTCGTCCCAATAGGCGGTCGAAAGATTGTAATGAAAACTGCCGCACGACAGTGCACGGTTAATGGTTGTGTCAACTAGCACCAGACTGGTAATAGGACCGTTTCCCACTGATCCCTCTAAGTGGCATTGCACCTTATTTTTTCAGCGAACTGAGTTGTCTAAGATTATCGTGCCAGACTACCAATAGTTCGTTGTGTGTAAGTCCGTGCTCACAGAGTGAAAATTCTGTCGATAGTGCTAGTCTTTAAACAAACAGTTTACGTTTCTATCTTAGAGCGATTTATGGGGATCGTAAGAATAATGTGCGCAGCGAATTTGTTTGCGTTTTTATGGTTGAATACTGATTTATATATAAACAGCGTAGTATTTATTCTGATGTATTTGGCATGACTACGAATCACTGAAAACGAGCATTCAGTTTTATTAACTAATTACGAGTATACACAACTTTTGCCTTTTCGAATTGGTGTCTGTTTCCAGGGGTGACTTGGAGGACGACGAAGATGATGGTCTAGAGCGTGCACCAAAATCGCAGCGCACCAAACGAAGCGGAACAATTTCCCATGCTCCTTCACGACCGAAAGCAAGTCGAAACCAACAGGCTGCGAATGCTGACCACTCCTTGCTTTCGCCTGGCTCACATCCCAACGACATTCCAGATTCCGGAGCCCCGCCTCGCACGTCCAAAGATGATGAGGGTCCTGACAGTATCCTACCACCGGATGACACGAAACTGGATGAGGAAGAGGAGCAAGAAGAAGACGAAGAACCGTTGAATTCGGGTGACGACGTCAGTGATGAAGAACCGGAGGTGCTGTTTGAATCGGACAACGTAGTAGTTTGTCAGTATGACAAAGTAAGAGGCTTGCTTTCTTCGTACAACATATGACGGTGTTGGTGCTTATTTTCATTCAATCCGAAATCTTTTTGTCCAGCAATGAGAAATTAAGTTCTTTTGTTTTATTAGTTCACGGCATTCTCTGTCCTTTCTGTTTACCTGTTATGGTTTGGCTTGCAACCTCCAGATGTTTTTCTTGAAATGAATTCTATGTACCCAAGCGCGGAATTTCAACAATCCGCGAACTCAAGCAGTGCATTTTTCAGTTTATATTACATACTTATAATCCGGTCATATATTATATTATAATATATTGGTATATATATATATATATATATATATATATATATATAGGTATTAATTATTATTATATAAATGGTTATCTTAATCCGCCATGACTATATTTTGGTGGAAAACATTCGTAACACCGTCGCTGAGAAACACGCGAAAAACTAAAAAAAGCGTGCGAGAGAAGAAGAGGAGTTCATTCAATCTATAAGGTTTATCTGCAACTCGGTAATCTGTTTGTCTTTATCAGTAAAGATACGGGTCAAAGAAGGAACAAAGGAACCATGATCAATGCTTATTCTCGCGGTAACAACCATGGACTCTTGTGCGCTATTACAATAGGAATAAAGTGAACAGCATATCAAAAATAACCAATTACAACACTAGACTTTTCATAAAGACGGTAACAGTTAGTGCGTGATTGAACGATATACGAGTAGAGTAGCGGCACATCTGGGACAAAAGTAAAAAGAACAGAGTTATTTGGCAGCTTTTACGATCACACAGCGTTGGTGGTAGAAAGTTGTCTACCGACTTTATATCGCACCCTATTGATGCCCCTGTTAATTCCTACGTGAGGGCAGTGAGTTTTCGTGATTACGAGGCTTACTTTTTTACAGTTCGGATGAAGGAAGGTCAACCGCCTAAACCAGTTCACGAAAGTACCTGACTGGGGAAAGTTAAATACTGACCAAAAAGTGAAATAAGTGATCGCGAGTAAATTATCTGCTTAGTTCGTATACGTGGAAAAAGGACATTCATTGAAGGATCTAGCGACAATCCACTTGTTTGGGGGACTCAGTTCTTCACGTAAATGTACGTTTCTCAGTTTCGAAACACGTGTTTCCTTTTATATCAGTTTGCGGAGCTGCAAGAAAGTGGTCATCTTAGTTGACGTTCCTCTCTCAGTGTACTGTGTTGACACGAAAAAGGAACAATATATCTGCGCTTAGCGTTTTACTCTGCTGGTAACAGCTGTCTTGTCATACACAATTCCGCCTTGCATTGCATGTGATTTCTGTTTACCAGTAACTGTTGGAATATGAATCAGTCGTTACACTGAACGACTGCGTTGATGTTTATTCTGTTTTGTCTTATTCCTCACAACTGCTTCTCACACCTCACCGTTCCAGATTCATCGATCACGCAATCGCTGGCGACTGCATCTCAAAGACGGTATCATGGCAATCAACGGCCGCGATCTTGTTTTTCAAAAGGCTGTGGGCGAAGCAGAATGGTGAATCAGAGATAAAAAAGCAACAGTTCAGTATCTCAATTTGTTCGGTGTATATTTGGTGACCAGGATCAGCGGCTGTGTTCTACCGTTTCCATACCCCTTATGTCGCCAAGTTTATTTTTCCGGTTACAAAAAAGATACACTCTCGTGGCACCCTTGTCTTTGAGTCATTGCACAACTGTCCACACAGATCCCCTCAGTTCACAGCTGCCACTTTGTTTACCTCGTCACTGAACCCTTACCTATTCTAGTCTGCTCGCCTTTCGCAGACCTAGACGAACCTGAAAACTCGGTGCCTTTGTTCTCGCCACATCCGGACCGTGATACATACATAGACGCATGCATCCGCTCCCAAACGATTCATCTCTTTCCGCACAGCAGCACCAGCATCACGGAACTGTCGTTTGTACGTTCTTGTTCTCCCTCTCCCTGTGTGTACGCGCGGGGAATGTGTATTTCTTCCTTGCATCTCCTTTTTGTTCCCCGATCGCTATCCACACTTCTACTTCTACTCCGACGCACACACACACACACACGATGTGTATGCCCATTCCGACCACGTGCGCAGATCAATCACCTATTGTGCAGTCTATGCGCACTCGTCTCTTGCCTCACTTCTCTCCATGCGGGTCGATGTTATGCCATCATGCTACTTCGACCAAAACAGATTTTGCTTCTTGTTCAAATCAAATGGGATATTTCACAGCTGGAGGGCTTGAGGCGTGAAACCGGATAGTGGAGGAGTCAACTTTAATGCTGTGTATTACGCATTCTAGGAATACTTATGAAGTAAATAATTAGTCACGGGGGAAGTTGAGTTGGATCATCAGACTCACGGAAAAATTCAAAGTAACTCGCCCGTTATAATTTGTGGTCTTGATATAATGATCAGTATGGTAAAGTCTAAACAATATTGTCACACAGAATCCTCAATTCTGCACGCAAGTGAACAATCGCCTCTCAAGAGTCGTCCTCAAACGGTTTATTTACGTGAACTGTAACCAATTACAGAGAACTGGCAGATGTGCCAACTAATGAGAACCGCTTGCTTCCTGGAATGACTGACATCTTGATTGAGAGTGCTCTCGGTCTGGTAGTACACAAATGATACCTCACAGTGTTCCTCGCTTGGCCGGTTGTTAGGCGTTTATAATATCGTTTTCATCGTGACACGTAACACGCCAANACTTACTGCTCGACCGATTCCACACATAGTGGCATCAGTAATTTCTCTTATCTCCCTCGCACTAACGCCAGTTCCTTACGTGTAATCGAAGAGGAAATTTGTTCAGATTGTTATTTGGCAGGCTGAATAGAAAACTTTCAGTGTATTCTAAACAAAACTTGCCATGGTGGGTAGCCTTTCCGCTTTAGTGACACAGTCAATTCAACGAGAACAGTAGTGACCTCGGTGACGGATATTGTTTACGCACCGGCAAATTTCGGGAAACAATTTATCCGCGGAACCGTTCGAAGGATTTCCGTCCACTCGTCTTTGGCCATCATTTTGTGCACTGGTGTACCCGACCATCGCAAATCCAAATGTTTTTTAGCGTTCAAACCCTAACGTGTTTGTGAATCATTATTTTTTTGCACACGGTTCCGAAAGATAAAACAACCAACACGTTGATCGTTTGGGTCGGGTTAGATTATTTATCCGTGCCCGAAGGATAAAAGTAATCAAGACTAGTGATCGATAAGTTGTGTAAGGTTCTTATCTTGTCTGCTTCAATTGCTGTTTTAATGATGGTCCAGATTACGCTCGTCNGAGAGCGCGCGCACTCAAGTTGTAACTTGTAAACAAATTTCCAAACCCGGTGAACTGGTGAAAATGAAGTGAAACGTTTTTGGTTAATAGCTTGACGGATGGATTTTTTCGGCATGGGAGATAGCTTTAGGTGAAGTATGGAAGATGCAGTTTGTGCTAGCCATAAGAAGAGATTATAATTGAATGTCTTTTCTGCTATCGATCAACCCACCTTGTTTTTCCGTTCCTTAGCACTTAGCCTATTACCCGAGTGCGTGTATTATCCCTCCAGACTAGTAGTTCAACATTTATTTCGATGAACACAGACCCTCGCGATGGGGGAGACTCACTTAGTGAGTGAGAATATCCGGATAGTTTGGCAAATCCGAACCATCGAGACTGGGAAGTGTAACATCGGTTGCGCCCACCCATCATGAGCTCAGCCCCCCCCCCCTACTCAAAGCGCCATCTGCATTGTGTTCGAAATGCTTCAGCTGTATGCCACCGGTTGTTGTCATTCTCTGCGTTCATCATTTCGCATAAGATTTTGCTGCCAACACAAATTGACTGGATCTTATCATGTCATCAAAGTTGTGTGCGTTGAGGGCACCAAGAAAGGTTGTTTTCACTTACATGATACATGAGCCCTACAGGTGCAGAATTAAATGAAATGAACGTGTTTAGCGTTCGAACGATTATTCTGAATGCTAAAACGATCGATGCGAATGGAAGGCAAGCAAAATAAATACAGAATCGTAATCGGCTACTGGACCCCACACCCAGTCACCAGAAGAAGGCCACGAGGCGAGCTACTAGTTCACTGGGGGTGCATCCAATATCGGATCGTTGACTTGCATTAAACTATTCGGGCGGTGTTCAATTCGTAACTGGCGCCGTTTTCTTGGTTGCACCGATCGCGTGCTTCCCATTAGTAGCCACTAACTGGAAAAGTAGTAGAGCACGGGGACGAGTTTTGTTGTTTTGGCAGCTGCACCTCTCCCGGAAGCAGCGTCAGTTTGCATAAAGGTTAGCAGTTGCCAAGATGAGGTATCTACGGAGCCACCGCGACATCCGGCTCTGTGGAGGGTCGAGTGTATGCTGCAACAGTGGAGTCAGTTGTGCTGTACGACACCGAGACCTAGTCATTATGAACACCGGACTATCGGTGTTCGAACACTGCTTTCTTCGCTGCTTGGCACGAATGTGGTGGGGCAGCCGGATAAGCAATGCTACGGGTAGACGCTTAATTTTGGGTAACCGCGGTTACCCCCTGGGACAAGTAATCGACCCCCATAGAATACGTTGGTTGGGACATGTTTTACGCATGCCCCCAAATAGGTTATCTCGACGTGCCATGTTTGCCGGGTTAGGTAGTGAATGAAAAAATCCAAGGGTGGTCAAAATAAGGCCTCGCATGAGGGTATGAAACCCCCCATCATGTGACTCAGTCATATAGGTCGCATTAGGCTCCCTGGGTGGGTGCTTCAGGATCATTGTAATCAGGGGTTAGAGACACTGATGGAATGTCTTAAACAATGGCTCCTGTGCATCTCGATTTCTTTGCAACCTTAGTCCACTGAAATTCTCCATTTTACTTCGACTCTACTTTCTACTTTCCTGTCTTTCTTCTACCCCCTTCATTCAAACGGGTAGCCGAAGGACAGCAACCAAAACCGGCTCACGGAAGTGCACGGTTAGCGGTTGAACAAACTGAAACAGAATCAGTAGCCTGACAACTCTAGCGGGCGGATTCCTAGTTAACGTTGCATCGTAATGTTGGGTCATCACAATGGGATTTCGAGGAATAGTTGGGTTCTTTCGACGTACAAATGAAATGAGAAGATCACCTTCGGTCACGCTTTTTGATTGTACCACATGGAGTAAAATTGGGGGGGGGGGGCATTTANAAGATAGCCAGTGGGCCGTTTTAATGGTCTACCGTCGTTACGTATTCTTAGCCTCTGCATGGAACTTTTTTCTGACCTACGGGCACATTTCTCGCCATTTACAGCTATCTTAAAGCTTAAGAAAGTGTAAGTTAAATAAAGTGGTCGAGGAACAAATACACATCAGGTTGATTCCCCAAATGTCTACAAAGAATATAAATCTAAGTTTACAGTAAAATTTGCGCTATCCAAAACCTCTAGGGTGTGACCAAATAGTTATTTTGATATCTTTTTGGATTTCCCGACAATAAGATCTGGTTCCTTTGGAAGTTTCACCTGACCCCTGTATCGGACAGGTATATATTAATAGATTTCACACACACCTGAGTTCAGGCTGTGCCAAACAAATTACGGTAGGCTAATCTTCATAAAAAGAAGGATTCACGATCTGCTCGAGGGCATGATACTACTAGGTGTGTGAAAACCGCAACTCTTAGGGGACGGAGTCCAGTTCATCTGATCATACGCCCTTCGGATAGGGTCAAACGTCCAGGGTACCCATTACAACTTGATGCCCGGTGGAGTAGGTGACCACTACCACGACCAGGAAAGTGTATGCGTGGTTCGTACGCCTCTTCTTGGTTGGTTTGGAATCAGGGTTTTTGGTGAACTCCCAGTGGTCCATCGACTCGATTATAGCCCTGGATGTCGGCTTTTCATCCTCTCACTCTGGTGGGGGAACACCTCCGATGCGGGAAGGCAGTGAGTAGGGCTTCCTCAGCAGAAGCAGTTTGAGATGCTTGGTCAAATGGGTGCATTTCGTGAGGTGCAGGAGAGAGGTAACCAGCCGCAATCCGATATTCACTCTTCCGACCATACTGAGGCATTCAGAGGTGCAGTGGACATGTAATTTAGTTGTGTTCTGATCGAGGTTAGATTATTTCCTGTAAGTGGAATCCATAGTATTTCATCCTGCTTAGGAGATTGAATGAATCATTACTATCGGGCACGTGATGGTAGGATTGGGGGGAGGGGGACTTGACACAATTAAAGGTACTTCAATACGGAGTGCAAACTGTGCATATCATCATAACAAGAGGATTTACGCACCGATTCTGAATGATATAGATAATTCGATAAAAAAGTTTTTTTGCTGTGACTAGCTTATTCATTATTCTGTTGCACATGATCTCTTCTTCACGTGGGGGTAGGGTAGGCGGTTATGACAATAGTTCCAACAACCATGAATTTTCTCAGCCAAATCTGTTGCATATGTGGACCAAAAAACAACTACTCGCAAATTCAGTAACCAGGTTTGGGTTTACGATGCTTTTGCGTTCCACCTGAACATCTAATGACTCCAAAAATGGG